TCTCCGTTAATATGCGTTTTTGAACCTTTCTAAGTCGGTCTATGACGAAAAAATTTTTTCGATCAGCCAAAAATTTTCTAAGTGACAAGCCTAGCTTTATTTGACTCCGAAATCCGGGCAAGCGTAGTGTAATTTATAGTAATCGGGCAAGGAACATTTGCATACGGCTTCAGTGCTATGATGGCAGTTTCATATTAAACCATGTTTTGCAACATGGGTAAACCAATAACCAGTGTCAGTTCTTGCCATATTTCTTGCAGGGGACACACCAAGAAACAATCTTGCCCGGTTTCCAAATGTGGACAAGCTAGGAAAAAACCTGTGAAACTTCGGACGTGCTGGCTACCCCCACGGCCCAGAGCCCCCACCCCAATCTTGATCCATCCGTCATTGGGTCTGGGGCCCACCAGACGTTGCTCGTTCGTCGTCCTTTTCAAGATCCCAGCACGTCCCTGACTTCGGTATAAATTACTTAAAGTATAGCTGTAACATCCTTACATACAGCTTACATATAAAAGTAACAAAACAGTACGTTTGCAAGACTATATCGCATTATCGCAGTTGAGAAAGTGTTTTATGATTTTATTGGGGACATTCTTGACATATGGGGACATATGCAAATTTTCCATGTTCTAACGATCTTTGGTTCTGAGCATGCGCCGTTGCTACATTTTGAAATACAAACTTCGTTAGAATCCGTTGGCTGATTCTGATTGCGTGTGCAAGCGTGTTCTAAAATTTTAGAAGAAAGGCTCGAAGAAAGGTTCATTTTTTTCAAGTTTCAAGAATATTTCCAGTGGTATGTACCTCGTTATTTAAAATTTATACTATTAAGGTTGTATGCGATATGTTTTATTTTGCCAAACACCGGCGAGAAACATAAATTTGAGTGGAATAAATAGTCACAATTTCATGTATAATTTTAGAATATGCATCGGTCGATTATAGATTAAACGATCACTAAAATTTGCGTCTTGTTTTAGCTTGTTTTGTAATATAAACTCCTGTTTTACGCAAGACAACTTTAATTCGTGAATTGACCAAAATAGAACTAATTGTTTTAGAGAACTAGGCACTATTATAAATACACTCGCAAGCATGACAAGGACTGGCCTTCCTGGGCAAGATCCAGTAAGGGCTTGTTGACATGGACGCCTCGCTGCGTAGTTATTTTTATAGTAAAAATTATTGTGTGTTTATACAGGGTTTTCAGTTTAGAACGGCGAATTTCGCCAGACTTTTTCATTCAACCCCACCCAAATTCGCCAGAGCTTTTACGTTTGGTCACATCTCTATTATGTGTACTTGCCCAAATTTGTAAATTCTATCGGTAGAAATAATATCTATCGCCATAGCTTCATCGCCATTAGCCAGAACCTCACACAAAACTGAAAACCCTGTTTATATGGACAAGCGGGCTTGCCCGGTTGCCGAGATCTTGCTTGAATATTTGACAAGCCAAATAATATCTGCCAAATAATATCTGCCAAATAATATCCGTGCAGTCAGAAATTTGAACTGGAAAGGAGCTGGAAAAATTGGGGTATGTCTAACGCCAGACGATTTTACTCATCGGGGAGAGTGCTGGCACTCAATGAGTTAAGTATGTATATTGTGGACTATCTGAAAAAATCCATATCTTACCAGGATGATACTTGCTAGATAAATAGGGTCTGAAATTTAAATATCTTTTCAGTATCCAACTGGGATACCAGGATTCAAAGTTTAGTAACCCTCCTGAGAATGCAGTATCCCACTTCTGGACACTGGTTACCATAAAAAAGCTTGAAAATATAAATAGTTGTCGGATAAAGCTCAATATTTTGGACAGTAAAATGTAAACAAAGGTTTTGTTTACATACGGACTGTAAGGCACCTTTAAGCGTATTGTCAGTTGTCTGTTATTAGATTATTCAATACTAATATTAACGTGATTTAGATGTAATTATTCAGGACTCGCCGTAATTGGGGACACTGTGGCGAGTATCCTGGCACTACATTGTTATAATATAAATTTAGTAGTTGTCGAACAGTATTAAATCATTAAATCATAAGTATTATACCCTGTCCGATCCAATAACTCTCGCTGTTACAAAATTTATTACAGTAACAATAGGAAATTCAACAGTCAAGTTGTCAACAACTAGACAATTCATTAATCCACAAAAATGCACATTATATGAGGAAAGGCTTGGGTGGCAAACTCATAGTATTCAAAAGCTATCAGGAACTTGTCAAAGATGCTTAACATTTTCCTAATGTTTGAAATTTTCTTAGTATCCAGTTGGGATATAAGTCATTCACAGTTTGGTATCCAAAACCAAATTTTAGTATCCCGTGGATATCGGGATACTGCAAATTTCAGACCCTGAATTATTTTATCTTATTAATTATTAAAAGAACTTAAATCAACTGAAACTTTCGCTAAATTCAAAAAGTCTGTCAAGGCGTTGCAATTGTAGACAGTAATAATTAATATATGACTAGCTAATTTATTGCTAAATTTAATCAAACCCTACTTTAATAGCCTTATATTTTATATTAATGCAGGTTAATCTTGCTAAGGGACCATTCACAAAATTCGGACATCCAGATTGCTAAAAAATCCTCGCCCCCCCCCCCCTATGTCCAAGCTTGTCCTGATTTTCCAAACCCCCCTCCCCCATCGGCTTGGACATCCTTTGTGAATGGACCCTAAGAGCACTTCTATTTGCATGACTAAAGTATTTTTGTAGTTATTTCCTAAATAGTTAATGTTTTGATATTCTTGACTGAAAATTAGATAGTCATATATAATATGACAATTGTGCTACAATGGGATGCCAGTAGTTAATATGTATGGATTGAGTGTGTAAAATTGTGTCTCAGTTATGCGACATGTAATTTGTTGTTCTGTTAGATCACTTAGATGTATCTTTATATATTTATATATTGTAGTTAGTTTCATGTGCACAACCACATCAGCTATGCTGTAAATTTACCATTGTGTTTAAATAAATGCTTTTATTATTATTAAACAATTATGACAAAACTTAACCCTTGTTATCTGACGCCAGATAATTTTACTCTTCAACATAGCAGGAAATAATATTTTTGGTTTTTGTATTTGTAATGAAATTTTTTCAGAATCAAGTACCTTATTATGCACTAGCATTATTATGTCCCGATCCTCGGGTCTATGCAGGGATTTTAACATTTCATGGATGTTAAAAACCTGGCTCAAAAATACCATTCAGTTCTTAAAAGACTTAAAAAGCCTGGCTCCCCAGGATAAAATTGAAGGTTTTATGTTCAATTTCCTCTGATTTTCACAGTAGAAATTAGAAAATAAAGGAATATTGAATAAGAAAAGATCATCTGAAAGTCATCTTGAACATCCTTGTTGGAACATAAAAACGTGTGATATATTGATTAGTGTTAAAACCCCGGTACTAGAAAATCAATGTTTGTTAAAATCCTGTATTTCCCCTGCTAAATGCTATTAAAACCCTGCTTAGCCCTGGGTGGGCGGGGTTTCAAATGACTAGTGCATTAGAAAATCAAAGGACACACTGGTGACAAAAAATATGAATGCGGTTTTTGCAACACCGCGTAGTTTGGCTACCCATACAAGAACTCAAACTGGACACAAATAATTTTTTTCTCAATCAAGTACTTTAGTTAGACATGAGGCACGCTGTACAAATGCTATTTACAGGTGAAATGGAGAAGGAAAGATCGTCTATAAACTCCATACGTACTGTATGTTGTCCTTGCTCTCCAAGAATTAATATCGCATTTATTCGACAGGACTTTGAAGCAAAGAACACATTTGTATTGCACAAAGCCTGCCATGGAACATTTACATTTACGCACACTTCATAAATTTGAATAAATTGAAGTTAAGAAGTTAATTTACCCAAAACGTAAAACGGATATGACGTAGGTCGGGCAAGCTTTTCGTCGTTGATTCGTAGAGCGGTAGATCCCTCACGAAATGCGTTTCTGCTGGGGTTTACACCGTAGTAGACTAGTGTAATATGTAATATGTAATTGCTTGCATATAGTTCCTCCCTAGTTGTTGCTTGCACATGGCAAGAAGATGTTTTATATTTTGTTGACTCCATATTAATTACTGCAGGTTCTTTCCAGGTACTCAAGAAGATTTTTTTCCCAATCAAATAGCTGGTTATCCACAAAGGATGGCGGATGCATGGGACATTCTGGGGGAGATCGAAATAAGCGTTATAAATACTGAGGACAACAAACCTCAATGTGATGTCTGTGGAAAAAGATTTTCAACAGCGTGCAGTTTAATTAGACATAAAAAAACACACACTGGGGAAAAGCCATATGAATGTGATGTTTGCCATAAACGGTTTACGCAATCAAGTAGTTTAGCTGATCATAAAAGAGGACACACTGGGGACAAACCTCATGAATGTAGTGTCTGCGACAAGAGATTTACAAAAGCAAGTTCTTTAGTTGTCCATATAAGAACACATACTGGGGAAAAGCCTTTTGAATGTGATGTTTGCAATAAAAGATTCACCCAACAAAATGGTTTGAAAAAGCATAAAAAAACACACACCACAGAGAAATGTTATGATTGTGATGTTTGCAATCAACGATTTCTAAGATTGAGTAGTATGATTAACCACAAGAAGACACACGCTAGTCAGAAAAAAACTTATAAATGTGATGTTTGCGAGAAAATATTTACAAAATCAACTAGTCTTGTTGTTCATAAAAGAACTCACACAGGCGAAAAACCATATGAATGCGATGTATGCAACAAACAATTTTCCCAATCTAACGTGTTGGTAAAGCATAAACGAACACACACGGGAGAAAAGCCTTATGGATGTAATGTTTGCAGCAAACGATTTGCGCAATCAAGTGTTTTAAACAGACACAAGAAAACGCATACTGGCGAAAAATCTTACGAATGTGACGTTTGCAAGAAAAGTTTTTCAAGAGCAAATTATCTAGCAAAGCATAAACGAGTGTGCACTGGGGATAACTTTAATGAAACTGATAATTGCAATGAAAGCTCTTCAGTATCAACCAACATGGGTAAACATCCCAGGAGACACCAAAGAGAGAAGCCATTTGAATGTGATGTTTGCAAGAAAAAATTTTCAAAACCAGGCATTCTAACTCGACATAGGAAAACACACACGAAGGGCAAATCGTCTGAAGGTAGTGTTTCAAAACCAAGCATTCTAACTCGACATAAGAAAGCACACACAAAGGACAAATCGTCTGAAGGTAGTGTTTCAAAACCAGGCATTCTAACTCGACATAAGAAAACGCACACAAAGGGCAAATCGTTTGAAGGTAGTGTTTTAAAACCAAGCGTTACAACTCGACATAAGAAAACACACGCAAAGGGCAAATCGTCTGAAGGTAGAGTTTGCAAACAGAGATTTTTGCAATCGATTGGTTTGGTAAAGCATAAAAGAACGCAGATTAAGGAAAGGTCTGCTGAGCTTGAAAGCAATGTTAATGTCACAGCATCGACTGAACCAAGCAGTTCCAATAACCAGAATCAGCCGCACACTGAAGAAACACAACCTGAACACCGTTTTAATGATGATGGTGAAGATGATGGTAGCGATTATGGTAATGATAATGACAATAGTGATTATGATGATGATGATGATGGGGATGATGATGATGATGATAGGGATGATAATGGTATTTGTAATGAAAGTTTTTCAGAATCAAGTACCTTACTAGAAAATCAAAGGACGCACACTGGTGACAAAAAATATGAATGCGGTTTTTGCAATAATCTATTTAGAACACGGCGTAGTTTGGCTACCCATACAAGAACACATACTGGACACAAACCTTATGAATGTGATGTTTGCAAAAAGTGTTTTTCTCAATCAAGTACTTTAGTTAGACATAAAGTAACTCACAGTGCAGAGAAACCGTTCGAATGTGATGTATGCAAGAAAAGATTTGCGAGAGCAAATTATTTTGCAAAGCATAAAAAAGCGCATACTGAAGGCAAACCCTACGAATGTGATGTATGCAATAAAGGATTTTTGGCCTCAAACGATTTGATAAAACATAAAAGAACGCACACTGGGGACAGACCTTTTCAATGTGACGTTTGCCAGAAAACGTTTGTCCAATCAAGCAACTTAATGAAGCACAAAAGAACGCATACTGGGGACAAGCCTCATGAATGTGATGTTTGCAAAAAGAGATTTTACGATACTAGTAGCTTATTAAAACATAAACGAACACACACTGGGGACAAGCCTTACGAATGTGCTGTTTGCGAGAAAAAGTTTGCTCAATCATGTGATCTGGTAAAACACAAAAGAACACATACTGGGGAAAAACCTTATGAGTGTGATATTTGCAACAAACGATTTGTTCAATCAAGTATTTTAGCCTGCCATAAACGAACACACACTGGGGAGAAGCCTTTTGAATGTGACGTTTGCGGGAAAATATTCTCAAAAGCAAGCAATCTAACAAGGCATAAAAGAACACACGGCAGTGTCAAACCTTATGAATGTGATGTTTGCAAGAAAAGATTTTTAGAAAAAAGTTACTTGGTCAAACATAAAAGAAAGCACCACATCGAAGAAGATACACTGGAGACCAACTTTATGGACGTGAGCATGCTTGGAGTAGACGAGTATCCCAATTACATGATTTTATAAAGCTTAATCACACTCGCACACACCATAGACAAGCGAGAAAAATATAAACTAATAAGAAGCCATACATACCATGGTTCAAGGAGATTTTAAAACAAAAAAGAACAGCAGCCGTGCATCAAAGTCCAAAAGTTGCAAAGAAACTACAAGTTGGCGTGTTGATGAAGAATGTTGTAAATATCATGGTGTATCATTAAGGGGAAAACACCCCAGAAAAGTATGGTATCTCAAATGTAGGGTAGTTTTGAAGAGAGAACTGTCTTGATTATTTCTGTTAATTGTGCGCCAAAGTTGTGTGCCCCCTTGGAAAGACGCCTCCTAACACTAATCTAGACTGCGAGCGGTCCCTCCTTTCCGCGGGTTTAGATCCCCACGCATGCGCAAGGAAAGGAGGGACTGCCGACAAGGAAATTGCTAGATAGTATACTTCAAAATAAGGTTTCCGTTTTTTTCGATTTTTAAAATAAGTTAGGGTTAGGTTGGGGTTAGTGTTAGGGTTTAGTTTTGCGTTAGGATAGTTTTTCTACGTTATAAAAACGGAAACCCCAGCCTAGTCCCAGGCTCTCTCTCTATTCGCTGCTTTGATATATTTAAATAAGTCTTAAAAGTTTTATGCCTGGGTGTGCGTTCGGAACCTTCAGCGAAGCACCTTGAGCGGTGACGTCACACCTAGGTCCCAGTCTCGTACTACATCCACTTTTTTCTCGCGCTTGCTTCAGAACGACTGGGACTAGGCTGCGGAAACCCTATTTTGAAGTATACTATCTAGTAATCACCCTGCCGACAACACATGAAGAAACGAAATACGCGTTGCCCACACAACGCAAAATTCCTATTGGCGAAATCGACACGCCTGTCAATCAAATCTGATTACGTAGTAATTATGCTAATTTATAAATAAACATGACTTTAACGGTTCCTATTGGATAGATCTAATCGGATATAAGTAATGTTTATGCAAAGGCGGAGCCAGTTTAACAAGACTAGATGTGCTGTCGGCCTTGCCGGATGTGCTTTCTCCAGAGTTACTGCTCGCGGTCTAACACTAGTCCACCTAACCACAGAGTAGAGACATACAGAGACGTAACTGACCGTTGTAAACACTGCGGAAGCTTACGTTATCACGTACCCACTTTTTCAGGCGACCAGGCGAAAAATGATCAACTGCGCGTGATCAGCAAGTGTAAAGTGAGTCGTCAGATCGTCATCCAATCAGATGCATGGCTTGCATGCATCTAGTAACTTGCCGAGCATGCGCACAAAAAAAGTGTGTACACTAGTTACGTCTCTGTATGTCTCTACTCTGTGACCTAACCGCATTCAACTTGCGTCATTTCGAGGCCACCTATAAAAGTATCTTTGTATATATACACAGTGATAGATCGTATAGCTAAAGTACTGGATGCATCTGTTGTAAATAACATACATATATATATAGCCCAAAAAGGATTTTGCGAAGCTTTGTTTTCAGTAACTGTATATTATATAATATATCAGTTTTACTAGTTTAATTAACGTGGAAATTTTGGTTTATTAATTACGTGACTCTTGAGTGAGGTCTATATACTAAAGCCAGAGGTAAGGTGCTATTACTTGCAGTCCTTGCAGCTGAACGGAGGACACATCTCTAAAGTAAAGGCCCGTTTACACTTGCAATTTTTGCTGCGATTTCTGGCGCGATTTTCTTCTGATGGATGTGAACGAGCAGATGAGTTATGAATGTTCTGAGTACAAGTTGCCTTAGGGCACAGAATACTACACAGAAGTCCATCTCCATTGTTTTTTTCGTAAGCGTTATTCGTCATGATTCGTTACTCAGCAAGTATCGTAAACAGAAGCAGTCACCCCCCTGGATGTTCGCCATTTTTAGTATTTCCAGGGGGGACTGCTTCTGTTTACGGTACTTGCTGGGTGACGAATCATGACGAATAGCGCTTACGCTAAAAACAATGGAGATGGCCTTCTGTGTAGTATTCTGTGCTTAGGGGCAGACCATTAGAAAAGTGATGGGGGGGGGGGCAAAAGCAAAAATAAAAATCTAGCAGGGGAAACAGAAAAAAAAATTCGTGCACCAGAAATGTTTGGGAAAAAAAATTCGTGCAGAGACTTCAATATGGAAAATTATAAGTTGACAGGGCCTATCAGAGGTACAGTGTAAGGAAAGTAAAAGAAAAATAATTTTGAACTTTTTTATATAAGTAATGGTGTGAGAAAAATTTTTCTAAACCTAATTGGTGCAAAAAAGCGTTTAATCATGTTTCAAGAAGATTTTTTCAGGGGAAATGTGTTTTAAACATTAACTAAACTGATGTTAGTCCAGGCCGAAGTGGGATTTGCAATCGATGTGACCAGAGGCTCTCCGTTTTCGCCTCTCGTTTCTTTCGCCTCGCAAAGAGCCTCCCAAACCAGTGTTCTATCAAATCATATGATCAAATAAATCTGTGAATAAATTTAACGTCTTTCGTATTACCTGTGATATTACTGTAATTCTAGGAAATTTAAAGAAAATTTTAAGCCATTACCAGTATGTGGAAACACAATGTCTTTATGTGTCTCTGAATGTCCCTTATCGTTCGTTTATGTACTCGAACATCCCTGATCCCTCGAAGTGTTGTCGCGATATTTTTATAACATGTGCAGAATTTTGAAGATAAAAGGACTTAAATTTTCCAACTTCGAAGAATAGTTAAAGTGGTATGTACCTCGTAGTTTAAATATTACATCGTTGTTGTTGTATGCGATATGTTTTATATTGATAATTATCAATTTCAGTGGTCAAAATCTACATACAAATTTTGTTTGTCTCTAAAATGTACTATTTCGCCCTGAAGAGGCTCAAGTATACGTTTCTGCCAAACAGATCTTACAGTCATAATACAAGAACCTTCC